GGCCTTCTTGCACGCCTTCCATTGGGCTGGCCTGCCTGCTCCCATAGCCACAACAGCTCCTGGTAGAAGGGAGGCCACCCTTCTGCCAGATAGTCCCCGTGAAAAAGGTTCCTGGCCCTGTAGAAGGCATTCCGCAGGACCTTGACCTTGGAATGAACCTGGGCCAAGGTCCTGCGGCCAGTTTCCTCCTATATATTGCTCTATTAGGGTGGGAGCTTGAGCCCATGAGGAGGGGGAAGTGGGGGCTCTGTCCCATAATAGAAAGCAGTGCCTCCACTTTTACCCTGAGCCACAACTGCCACCTGCTAGCCATGGCTCTAGGTACAGTTGGGCAGCTGTGGCTTTTCTGGGGTGAATGTGCTTCCTGCCCCACCAGGTGTCGCCAGAACAGGAAAGTCGTCAGAGCAGAAGTATGATAATTGCTCCTGCATGATCGCCATTGCCCACAGCACGTGGAGATTATTTCGGTGGTAGCCGTTTGGCGGGAAACATCTCTTTGAACTCGTGGTCAGCCAGGCGATTGCATGATCCACCGGTTAGCTGTGCTGCTTGCTTCTGCGATCGTTGTATCGGCTCGGCCGCTATAACAATTATCACGCAAAAACAGCTAAACTTCCCCGCTTTTTCTGCTATTATTGCATTCCTTTTTTATCCAGCTGAAGACTTGGTTCCTATGGCTTCCTCAATGCCTGTTGACCCCCTGTGAAAGCAGGGAAGGGGCATCACGTGGGCCCACACAGAAATCCTAGAACTGATTTCTCTGTGGGGGGAAGAAAGGATTCAGAGGGAGCTGAACGCAAATCATAGGAACCACGATATTTATGCCGAGATATCTGGTAAGCTGATGGAGAAGGGGATATGCAGATCTCTCCAAGAAATTAGAAATAAATGCAAAACACTAAAATCAGAATACAACAAAGAATAGGCATTCTTCGCAATAAATCCAGAATACAACAACAATAGGCATTCTTCACAATAAATCCAGGAATTTAATCCCTGGGAACATATATCTGTGTGTGTATGTGTGTGTGTGTGTGTGTGTGTGTGTGTTTACGTGTGTGTATATATAAACATGCACATATATATACACTTATGTATGTATGTATATGTGTATGTCCATATACATATACATGCATACATACAACAAAATTAGTGGAAATGCCCCCGCCACATGCCCCTTCTTCATGGAGATGGACAGATTTTTGCACATGAACAGGTCTGTGTTCCCCAAGAGGATAACAAAGAGCCTCCATATTGTGAGAAAACCCACCGGGGGCCCGAGCCAGGAAACCACCTCACAGCCACCCCAAGCATCGCAGCATCAGGATGCATCGACGACCGCCATCGTCACTGTTGAAGGTAGCTATAACTGTGAATTTATCTCCATGTGCTCCAAAGGGCCCTTTCATTGGGGGGAGGGGGTGGTCTTTTGGGCTTGCCACAAAGGGGCAGATGAAACTTTCGAGGCTTGCTTAATGCTTATGATCCCACCAGATGCACACCCATAAGGCTGCCAGAATTAGAACTTGCTATTCATCTCCTTCAACTTTCTCTTATCTATATATCCTAACTCTATATATCTCTGGCCCTGGGTTGCTCCCCCATGCACCTTTTCACCGTGCTACATCTTTCTGTGCCTGTAATGGAGCAACTTCCCTGCCGCACTGCTATGGAATTGTGGAAAAAAAAATCATTGAGAGAAAGGGCGGGGGAAATATATACAGATCAGTGTCCCCCAAAAGAACGCGCCTGTTCATCCTTCCTAGATTTCTGTGCACCTGCAATGGAGTAACTTCTATGCCACTCAGCTATGGAATTGTGGGGAAAAATATTTCTTGAGAGCAAGGGATCTCTATAAATACAGATCTGTGTTCCCCAAAAGCACCTTTTCATCCTTACTAGTTTTTTTTTCACCTGCAATGGAGTAACTTCCCAGCTGCAGAGCTATGGAATTATAGGGGGAAAAAATTTCCTTGCAAAAAAGGATCTTTGGAAGCCTAGTTGACCCATTACATGTGTGGTTGAGAACATGTATGTTTTATTTCTGGGTGGCTTGATGGTAGCAGTACATGTAATATCGGGGAAAAAACCTCAGGAAGCCTTCTCCCACATCTGTTGGCTTCGATGTTCAACATGGGGGAAACCACATCAGCATTACCACTGCATATAACCATAACAGCCCATGTGGCTGTACTGATTTTGATAATACATGGTTTAACATTTCACTATTGGTGATGTAAGGTATTCCTCTCCCCGTTTTTTCCCACAGTTCCACCGGCAATCTCAGAGGAGGGAAACGTAATCCTCCACCTGGTTCCTGTCAAATAGCCATTGCCATTGGATCCACATCCGGCAGAAGACATGGACTCTTAGGATCTTCCATCGCCTGCTGCCAGTGATGGTAGGATTTTGTCAGATGGTGGAAAGCACATTAAGGGAAATGCTGCGCTGTAACTGCTCTGTAAGTAGCCCACCCATTGCTAACCCACTGCCTACATTTTCCTATCTTTTTTGTTTGTTCCAGAA